CTAGTCCTGCACATGCAAGCCTTCACAATTGCTTCCATCAAGATTCCGCAATTTTAGCAGAACTTGAAGCACTGAAAAACTAAAACCAAGTAGCAAGAGGACAACTGCACAAGCAAGAGGACAGCATGATTGAGCGACTCAGAAATGGAAAGAAGCTCCTGCCGTCTAATCACAGGGCACTAAGGACACCTCTTGAAACAGGTAGGTGCCCGTTCTTTCTTCCACAGAACACAGAAAGCAACCATAATTGATCTAAAAAAAACCCAACAAACAAGCAAAACCAAACATTAAAAAGCGGCATTTTTTTTCATATCCTGTCAGCCAGTGTTTGATTCATATCTTTAGCAGACAACTTTACATATCTTTTGTATTTTAAATACTATCATATTAATGTAAGTGTGGATTTAATGAATCTCTTTAAAAATCTCAAAACAAATAACTATATTTTCTAAGTGGGTTTTTCTGTGATGTTCACTATATCACCTTGAAAAGCACCATCAGTTGCTCTATGGGACTCCTTAAATAACCCCTTCAGAATGAAAATGCCCCAAACCTTTTTTAAATATCCTTGCTTTAAAGATTGGAAACTACAAGACAGCAGAAAAGGTCATATTTGTCAGCAATACAAACCAATTCTAGCTCTCCAATTTAAAATCTGAAGACCTGATGTTTCAAAACACATCACGTTTTCAAAGCACAATGTGTTAGTTCCACACAGATAACCCATTAATTTCACTTTCAATCTGCAGTGTTTGCTCTTCTTAAGTCATTCTAATAGGTCTCATCCTCTCGTATCAGCCACCAAAGAAGTACGCCTATCCTAGTACTTTGAGTTTCCTGATTAAACAACTGTCCACAAAACAAAGTAATTCTTTGGAGATGGAGGAGAGAAATATGTTTCCCAAAAGCTGCAATTCCAGCCAGTTCCTAACCCTGAGATCATTTTCTTCTCATTCCTCCCTCTCTCAGTGCAACCTGCTATGCAAAGCAACACAGGAGAACAAATTTCCTTGGTCATACCCAGAGCCTTCTCCTTGCTTGTGGAAAGAGTTCTTGAAGAAGACAGAATGACAATGCTGTTATGACTGCATGATTGGTAACTCCTTTTAATCTTTTTTTTTTTTTTTTTTTTAATCTTTTCTAGAAACACAGTAGTACTTCCAAACTTCTGAAAAGCACCTTGTAACTCACAGGGCATCAAAAAACTGACCATCCCAAAAAAACAGTATTGATTTGCTAAGAATCAGATCATCAGCTCTCAGAAAGAATTTAAAGCCTTCTTGAAAGCAAGGATGGCCAATTTTCCCAACCCTGGGCAGCACGTGACAGAAATATACTGAGCTGCATGGAAAAAAAGTAACTCTGGGAGAAATTCACAAGTGACAGTGGACATGACACTGCTTTGCAGAGCACTACTCCACTGCCCGATTCTATGTACACAGCTGGTCCCAAAGGATGCTCAATGCCAAACTGAGAAATTACATTTTTCAAAACTATTTTTCTATTTTGATATTATGTGTACTACTCCCTGTCTAAAAAGTGAATCCCAAATAATATTCAGAATCAGAATTTGGACCAAGTGGCAGAATATTTTAGTCTAAATACATGACACTGTTGGAAGAAAAGTATTTTCCAATTAGTACCATGAGTTAACATCAACAAAAATGTTACAGCACTGTAAACTCATCTTTTTACCACCTCAATTTTACATTTAGGCAAAGAGCACCAGAAAATTTCAGAAGAAAAGAGAGAAGAAAAACAGAATACTCAAATTCCTAAAAAGAAAAAAAAAAACATTTTATTGGCTACTATTATACTCTTCATTCTGTCCCTGCTTTATTTTCTACTTACTATTTCAAGGCTTTGTATCCTGAATATTAATTTGGCTGTTTGATGTTACAGAACAATTTTTTAGTTTGTTTGTTTTGTATGTGTCTCATAAGAAAAACAACAGTTCATGCCGCAACGATATGGCAAATATATATATATTTTTTTTTAATAAACAATACAGAAAGTCGCATCAAAATCCACGACCCCATAACTATCTTTTTAGTCACAAATTTCTGAATTGCAACCTTTGACTGTCTTCCACTTTTAGTACCCTCTACAGCTTGTTTTGTTTTTGCCACCAAAAACTTAATTCCTCCAAAGTCAAACTCATTTGGGAAAAGGGTAAAGAGAAAATTCTCCAGAGACACAGGTCATTAACTGCGTATCTTAATTGCATGAGGAACCATTTAGTGAATCTGTTTTCATTCATTAATTTAAGGCACTGGTTTGAGAACCAGCAGGAAAAGAGTAACTTGGTGATACCGAAGCTCTGTAGCAACATAAAATATTCCCTCATTCCCTGCAGAGCTGAAATTAAATGAGTCATGTCTTGCTAAATGGCTGATCATCAAACATTTGCTAGACTTCTTGATCTTCTGTCAAAAGATCTGTTCTATCCTAAAGATTTGCAAGAGTAAATCTAGTAAAGAATGGTTCAGGTTACACTGAGGGAATAAGGTCAGGAAAATGCCATAGCACGTGGTAATTCTACAAAACACTGTGACATAGAAAAAGTCACATGGTTCTTTGTTGTAAAGTCATCAGCATCGCAGAGGAAAGGTTTTTACGTCCTCATTTGGCAGGACGCAATTTTAAACATTTTAGAAAGTCAGGTTCCTCTGCTAGATTTTCGTTATCCATCTATCACCTATAAGCAGCTTATAGTATGGTACTGACACTAATTCATAAGATGGTTCATGCTTAAATAACTTCCTATGATTGTGAACAGAGCTGAAAGCAAAAAACATTTATTATATTACCTGTTGTTAGTCTTTGGTACTGCTAACCATAGGAATTATTTTGTTCTGTCAACAGATGCTGAAATGCAGAAATCTAATCATGTTTCAGGGAAACTGAGGGGTATAGTAGCCTTTGTTCTAATAACACACAGAGAAAGGTGTTAAAAGGAAAAGAGTGGATTATTTGTCCTCCATCTCCTATCTATTCTCAGTCTCCACTTAATCGTACTCCTTCCCATCTGCATACATGTAAATCACATTCCTCCTCTTAAATTGGTGCTGTTAGCATCTTTGAGCTTTCCATTCAGTGCAAGGATTATGTGCCTGGTATAGTGAACCTAGGAAAGTATCTTAGCTTCACTAAAAGGTAGGAGTCATCACTGAAAACTATTTTAAAAGATGCATGAAAGTTTGATTGTGAGGAATTTTATTAAATGAACATACTAAAAAAAGTTAACCTTAATTATAAAAGATCAGTTTAGCACTGCAATTGCAATAGCACAAAAAGACTGTTGAATGTCACAAAATTTGCTGTAAATTAATATAATTTAAATGGCTAATTCAAATATTCTAGAAACTGTGATATCTGAGCATTAACAGTCACTTCAGCAAGTATATTCTTTGCATCTATAAACTTGGAAGCAAAGAAAAGGCACCTATGCAATTTGCATGTTGACTTCCATTTTCAGAAAAGCTTTAGGCAGTATTATGTCGTTGTAGACACTAAAATGTAAAAATCTGTGTGACCCTTCCCTAAGCTGTCCTTCACTTGTAAGAAACCTGTATTTCTTCCAGAAGAGTTCCCAAGTTATACACATTCTCCCTCAATGCACAGGCATCTTAAGCCACTAAACAATTTGGCAGATAAGCCTTGAGATTATCAAAGCACCTTGCCTGTGATTCCTGCAAAATCTAATTAAAGAGGAATTCTCTTATATAGGTATCTGTCACAGCAAATTATAAAATAACACTGTCTGATGGTTACTTTGCATTACTTCCATTATTTCCCAACATCAAGTAATGGCAACAATGTAAACCATGAGAATTCAGCTTCATGTCTTATCCCTAATTTGTAAGGGTAGCTTGAACTGAAGATACCCAACAACCTGTTTAGTACTACAAAGATTTTGCTACATGTCTCATTTTGTCTTAAAACTATTCTATGCAAATGAATAAAACCATTTACTTTGCAATAATGGAAGTCTCCTAACCTCAGTATTATAGGGTCATTACCATCTTTCTCTATCTAATGAAATTAACACTGGATACTCAGTGAAAAATATAAATGTGAGAGTCTGAGGCACGAAGATCAAGATTTCTGTATGAACAAGAGTTTCATAGAAGTCTTCTGGAATTTGATGGAACTGGAATCAAATACAATATAACCATAGAGACAAGAATTTGAACTACTGCTCCAATACTCAAAACAGATCTTATAACTATTAGGTTATTAAGGCAGCTGCATTTCATCTAAAAATTTCTTTCCTCTATCACCCCCTTATTTTTCAAGGAATAAAAGGACTATTTTGAATATGACTTCAAGAGAACATATCCCGTTGTATTTAACCACCTCTGAAGAAAGAGATCACTTTCTCACTATCCGTCATTTCTTGCTCAGCTTCCTCACTTTGATGAAGACAGACATCCGTGTCACCTCTGGTCTTTGAATTTTAAGATGCAGCAAGTACATCAGTTATAGAAATCTGACCTGAAATCGCTTGCTTTTGGAAAATATTTGCCCACAAATCAGCTAGGATTATGGACAGAATAAATGGACAGACATCTTTTTTTTTTTTTTTTTTATGTTCTCCTGTCTAATTGCTTCTTTACCTCCTATATATGCAATCAAAAAATTAACTTTTTCAAAATAGTGAAATTTCAACCTCTTCTATTTTAAGTCTTCTTTGCTTGTACCATCCGTTGTTATAGCCCATAAATTTTGTAAGTTTTGAGGATTTTTTTTATTACAATAAAGACATAATGAGTGCTTCATATCTATACTACATAGTATTTTAAAATTAAAGTATAATAAACTCATTTTGGCATTATGAAGAGTTACATTAGATACTACTTTGAATATATGCTATCATAACCAAACCTATCACAAATTTTAATTTAATTTTAATAAAAAAGAAAATTTTAACTATTAATTAGGACTCCTTTCTCCAAGTAAAATGAACATGTTGGCACCTTACACACACAAAACCTTACCTGATTAGCTGTTGTGACATCAGAAAGTACAGCATCAGGGGGTCTCTCAGGTGGATTTATTGTTGCCTAAAAGCAAAAGAAGTTGTATCAATATCTCTCCATGAAATTCTCTTATCTGTAGTGATGCTAGAATCAAAAGGTATGAAGAGTATGCATATTTTCAAACCTGTTCGGGTTTTCCTTCTCACCTATAGTTAAGGACAAATAGCAAAAAAAATCTCAAGTTCATCTCTATGGAAGGTGGGATCCTGAGTCATCAATCAGCTGCACAGTTACAGGATATAACTGATCAATTCCTTTCCAAATTATCCTGAAAATAATTATTCACCTCCAAAAACGAGCTCCCCAGTAAAACCAATGCTTTCCATCTAGTGCCAACTTATTTCATCTTAAACAAACCAATGCTAGTGTTCTAGAACATACAAGTGAAAATGAAGCTTTTAAAATAATACTTTAACTTGCATCTCTTTTTTTTTTTTATCTCCTTTGATTCTTTTTTATTCTTGTCTTTGCATTAACAAGTTGCATCTTAAACCCCACAGCATTATAAAAAAAGCCATTTCTCATGCCATACAGCTTTCTTATTTGTTTTCATGCTTGTAAACTTCATCAAGAGAATGCCAGAAAACATCTTAGGTAATCATCAAGACAAAATACCATAACCACTTTAAACTATTAAAGTATCTCTTTTTTCACTTTAGGGATTTCCCAAACAAAAACAAAAATACTCCTTAAAAAAACAAAGAGAAACTAGTTTAAACTAAAATGGGGTGGAACAACTTGACTAAGGATCCTACTTAATGGTAGTTTTTGTAAGTCTTTCTTGGTGTGGAGGGGGAGGTGGGAGGGGGAACAATAAGGGCTATCCAGAGGACTGGATATTTTCCCATCTAAGACCAGTAAAAGCTCTTTTCCACTTATTATAGCATAGCAAATATGCCACTTGGGTAGGAGACTTGGAAAGTGTCACTCCTGCTGCCTTTGTCGGTCTGGAACACGGCAAATGCCCTATGCAATAATTTGGGCTGCAGAGTTAACAGTAACAAAACTTAGATGGTGCAGAATTATCGCCTAAACGGCTTTCAAAACACAAACACTTCCCTATGGATTTCCAGTCAGTTTAAAGAAACTCAGCTTGACCTACTGAACACTAAAAAAGGCTGAAACTGCTAAAGTTACAAATGGATTAAGGAAACTCATCTGCCATAGGACATCCAGCTCAGAAAAGAAACACAAGGTGTTGTTCATGCTAGACCCTAACTTTGAAATGTGTTCACCTTAACTCCCAGATGTAATAAACCTGCAAAAAGACAAAAAGATGCAATGTAAAACATACCTGCCCAATTTGGGGTTTTGGTAGAGAGGGACACGAAGGATTTTTTTTTTTTTTTTTTTTTTTAATTTGAGAAGGACTATATATGACTGGAATTGGCTTCTTGCTGCAGAAAGGCTACAGATTTACCATCCCTTGCCTTACCTTAAGTAGATTGTATATTTTACGTTTTCCTTCACAAGAGATACTATTGCTTGAAACATGCATTCTTTACAAACTAAAACACACACTAAAGTAATTTATACAGAATTCTCAGCTTTTGCCAGAGTGAAGAAATGATGGCTGCTCTAAGTATGATATTTCATAAAAGAAGGCCAAAGGCACTGCAATGGAATACCCGATGACATCATTATAGATTAGCAACATTTCATTCAACTACTATTTTTACATGTGCTACTGTAAATCTGATTACAGAAAAAATAAGGGTTCTGACAAAAGGCATAATATAATTCACCCGCGAGAATATTTTGTAAACTTTGTGGACAGAAGCTTTTCCCATTGCCCTCTGAAGCAGCATGCATCTCAAGATTTGACCTGTAAAGCTACATATGGGAAAACTTTTATACAATTGATAAATATTTAAATAACAAAACAAGACAAAAAAAAAGCTTACAAATGTATAAATTGATTATTAAAAAAAGTCAAAAAGTAGACCTTATAATATCTTAGGCCTAGTTGTCCAGCTGCCTATAGATGCAGAGCCTGAAGACTCTAGTCTAGAACAATATTTTGCCAGAGCTGTCCCTGCTCTTATAACCAATCTCTCCTTAAATATTATGTTTATATGAAGAAGCTGAATAGATACTTCACACATTTGGACAAACATACTATGCATCCATGTGACATTGTTTGTTCACTTGCTAGCTCTCTCCCAAGATGGAGGAGTTTCACTCCAAGGGAAACACACTTTTTTTTTTTTTATTTTTTTTCTCCTGATGCTTTCCAAACCCACACAAACTCTTAGCTTTATAAAGAGCTACACCTAGAGGTTTTTTTCTGAAACTACAACCTTAAACCTAACACCATCTATCAGAGCATACCCTCAAAAACAAAGCTTTTTACCGCAGAAAATCTTACCTTTCAATAATAAACATAGTCATATCTATTACAACAGTATTAACATACAAAAAGCAACTGATCGGTATTAAATCTTAATATACCTTCCACATATGTACACCCAGAATTATCTCTAGCCCACAGTCTATTTTTCAGTATGAAAGGCAGTGCTCTGCTTTGCATGCGCGTGCACACACACACACAAACTAAAATGTTCTGAAGCGGAGCAGCAGAATACCCATGCAATGCTAGACTGAGGAAAGAAATCATGTATTCCTTACTGGGACTGAGAGTCGTGAAGTGAAAGTGGAAATAGAGTCATGAGGCTATAGAGTCATGGCAGGAAAGTAGACATGGGTTTATGCCAGAAAAACAGACTCTCTGGCGAGCCGAGTTGACACAATCCAGCAGCTCAGGAGCAGGCCCCCAAGCCCTCTCTGATCTCCTTCTCTTTCCTGCCATTTGCTTCCCTGCCCATGCTTAAACAATAGCAGCACAAAATCCTGCTCTTACTGCTACGCATGCAAGAGGTAAAGCTCAGAGATAACTGAAAGTACCAAGACATATGGATTAAAGCCATTTCTCTGAACTTGTTCAAGCAGGTGCTTGAAGATCTTTGAGAACAAAAATAAGACTTCTCCCCACCTCACCCCCCCAAAAAAACCCTCTGAATAACTTTTAACAAGAAATGATTTTTTTTCATTTTTTCCTAATCATTTAATTTATCTTTATTTGGATTAAACACAAACAGATGGTTTCTTTTGCTTGCAAAGCTTAAATTTTAAATTTTAAAGTCAGTATGACTTTTGCCAAATGGTTCAGTTGAACAGATGGCCTCTTCTACCTGACTTACAGCAGTAGGAGTTTAAGGGCTTGGACAGATCAGTAGTATAACCTGATGTAGCTTTTAATACTTTTAGTGAATTAATTGAATTCCCCAAGTGAATTGGGTCAAATTTAGCTACTTCACATTACAGTCTGCATGATGATATACTTCAAAAGGCCTTCTTCTCAAAGATTTTATGCAAGTCCTGCAGATGAGGTTTCCATACACAACATTTATTCCAAATATATACATTTAAATTTTAATTAACCTCTGATACTACTATTATGATTCTAATTCCAAGTCCATAGATGACTGGTAGTTATTGCAGATCCTTCAGCAAATAGAAGCAAGTATCCTTAGTTCCTGAGAAGCAACAGAGTTTTCAGATAATATTTGTTATTAACGTGTTATAGACAGGATTAGATACCTACTGAGAAGCAAGCAGCTTTACCAGACATAGTCTGGTACAAAATAGTTTTCAAAGTCTCTTTTACTTTTCGGTTTATTCAGAACTAACAAGCCAACTTAATTCAGATCCTAAACATTTGTCAGATAGTCTCTCATCTTTCTCATTTAAGCTTCTAATATCTATGATTTTAGATATTTAAATGTTGAAATATCTAATTGGTAGCATGTTCTGAAATTCACTTCTTTCCTAATTGTCAGAATCATTTGTGTCCAGCCCTAAACAGTACCATTCTCCTCAGACTCATCCATGATCCAAACTATTTAGACTGATTTTGAGCTTGCACTGCTACATGGCTCAAAGGTTAATTTATCATTTCTAGTTCATACAGCATATGTTTTTCCTGCCATATTAAGAATTTTTAAAAATACGAATAAACTTGAATTTACCTTGGCTTTTTCTGATGTTCGCTTTCCACCAAATCCTCCAGCTCCAACAAAAAACAGACTGAATTGATTATAACACAACAGCTCCTTTCCACAATAGGTATGCACTGAAAGAAGGCAAAGAATGCTGAGAATGCTGTCTGTTCCATCTTGACCTGTTTCTTTTGTAACATAGTAGGTGTATAGTTTTGCTTCAAATGTGTCCACACGGTTTAACAAGTTACAGAACTGCCGCTTTTAAACATGACTTGTGGCAAGTCATTGCCTACCTACTGAAGGCTGATGATTCGTTTCAAACGTTACAATGAATTTTCTTTATATGAAAATATCAAAATATAAAAAAAGAGCTATCAAAATGTTGACAACATTCAAGGTGTTAAGAAGGTCTGACAACATAGGTCTGAAATTAATATTTATTTCAGCATTTCACATAGCATTAACAGTTTATTTCAATATAATGGAACTGTGCCATAAAATACGATGTATTAGAAAACCATTAAGAATCCATAGCTTGCACATTACCAACTCATACAAAAAACATGAACTAGTATCAGGTATAAAAAGAACTTCTGAGCAAACTTTCATCTAAGGTCATACCACTTTTTGAAGCAAGTTCTGATCTTCTTACACTGAATCACTAAGATTTAGCTATTTCCAATTTCTGGCTATTCCACTCCAGTAAGCCTTAAACTTTGCATTAGTGTTAATACTGTTCATTTCCAGGTACAGAGAAGATTTTAAGACTGTGCTGAAAATCACAACTCATGTGTGTTCCAGGAACAGACAGGTTTAGTGCTAGTCAAATAAAGAAGGAAAATAAAAATAGAAGGAACAAAAGGACAGAGTAAAGAAAATAAGCATCTTTTAAAAGTTTTATCCATATACTGGTGAGCAGTCACCACAGGACTATTTGAGATTCATTAATCTACTTTTAAACTGTGTTTTTCTAAATAAGCTTCCAATGATCTTGTTAAATTTAACTGTGTGCCCTTTAAACAAACCATGAGGTTTCTTACCATCTATGAGCAAGACTGCTCCTGCACCTTTGTCAAGTATGTCAGCAACAGTTGAAACTGAAGTTAGTTGCCCTGTAAGAGAATAAGAATACATGTAGCATTTAAAAGTTTTGCTTCAGCAATGAACTGTGCCACTCTCTCTTTGCCTTTCTTAAATAACAAGATTAAATTTCTGGCAATAGTTCCTATCACAAAGAATGTCCACTAACTTCAAGACCATTGAGATGATTACAGTTCTACAGAAAAGCTCAACACAAAGACTGGTACTGACTGACATGCTTTCTGTCTTATGAGATTGCTGTTCTAAAGTGATATGTAGCCATGTATATAATTAGAGGCATAAGTGAAAAAGGCTTTACTGTGTCCTCACAATCTGCTATCACATTTTTATTAAATTAATATTTGCACAATTCCTTTTTATTTCACAAAAGACATTTGTTATTGGTTCATTTTCTTTCCATCTTCTACATTCTGGAAAAATTCATTTAAAAAAATAGCTAAAGAAGAAATCCAGATACATGCAAACATATCCTGAATGAATCTAAAAACCACCAGTCAAGTGTTGCATGTAGGAAAAGAATTTTCTGCTTTAGTAAACAATATCCTGGGAATTTGGATAGGAATAACAGGAAATACTTTCAAGCCTCCTCATCAAGACGTCCATTCCTTCTTAATAATTTAAATCTTATTCTCTTAGAGGAAATAGAAGACAAACTTTGTCCATTTCAGGTAAGCATTACAAAACTACTGTGATACAATCTTACAGAAAGTTCTCCAAGTTAATATCAAATGATAAGAGTAACAGCATGAAGCAACAGGAGAAGAGCGCGCAGCTTAAATCATTAGCTTAAATAATCAGCTCATTCCTTTTCAGACCACGTAAACAGAAAACAATTACATATTTACTTTTATTATTTCAAATCCTAGGCATGAGTGCACTAAGAATAAAGCCAAGGAGCAATGTCTGATCTCACTTTTCCAAAAAATAGTTTCAGAGTTCCTGCCTCTACTCTTTCCCACTCCTTGCAAAAGGTATATGCAACAAATCCGGTTTGAAACTGTCTCCCTACTTTCAACTACAATGTGGCTACTAAAAGAGCTCTCACTGTGACAAGTGAATTAGCAACACAAAGGACTGACCTGAGGTTGGTAGTGGTTTATACAGCTCCAGGTACTGTTCACCATGCAGCATCTATGTAAAGACAGGCAGAGCTATTACAATTAATATAGTCTACTACTATTCCCATCACAGTTAGAAATGAACACAAGTATTTCAAAAGGCAAACTAAAATATTGCAAGCTCATACAGACAAATCTGGGAGTTAGCATACTGTAAGAACTTCAAAGCATACTAAGAAAAAATAGCCTAATCTACTGTTTGAACTGTTAAAGATTAACCTAGAGACTACAGTGATTACAGATATAGCTTTATAAAGTATACAGCTACTATTAGAAAACAGCATTTTACAAAATAAAACTTTTTAAAAATTTCCTCCTCAATATTATATATTTTCAGAGCAAGATATAAGTGATTAGGTTTAATAAAATATATTTATGATAAAGTAGAATTTAACACAAAATTGGAAAATTCATATCAGCTTAGGAAAACGTGGCCTACACAAGGGAACTAACTGAATTACTTCTTAGGATGCAAAAATCCAAAACATTGAGTTTTCCTTTCCTAGAAGACAGTGCGCTTATAAAAATTATAAATATGCTAATTGCCATCAATTTATAATTTCATAAAGCACAACAAAAATAGTTACTTAGTTTTTTCATACCTTCGTGAAATCAAAATTTAGTCCATTAAAACCATCCAAAGCAACACCATCAAAAATAGAAGTCTGAGCAGGAATGACTCCAAAGCTAGGTAAGCAGCAGAATTCTTCACTTCCTTCAAAGAGAAATTTTAGGTGATCTGGATCCTTAGTTGACATTCCCACACCAAGAGCATACAGAATAGGTTGTAAGTGACTGTATGTATACACCTTGGTAGCCAACTCCCGGCCAATAATGTTTGCCTAGAAATCAGAAGTCAGCATAAAATCAAACTTTGTACTCTTCAACATTACACATGTATTCTTTCTGCAATACTCATATCAAACAATTCATTTTGTTTGATATCAAACTCATATCAAACAATTTTTGAAGTAAAGTCAAATGTAAATGCATAGTATAATTAGCAAATACATTGCAACACATTCCTGTGTTTGTTGCAGTGTGAGAAGCCCTATCACAATGCATTATACTTTTCTGCAAGTGATTTACTTCAAGAAAAAATGGTAAAACTTCACCTGACTCAGCTCCCAGCCATGTAACATATATTTTTTGAAAATTAACCATGAGTGAAATAATTAACACTGTAACATAATTAGGAAAAGTAAACGTTAAGTGTGTATATAAAAGAGCAGACAGAGAACAAAAACAAATGAACAAAACAAATTGACTAGTGGGCCTCTGTTCTCTTCTCTGAGCAATATCCTAATTAAAGATGTTTGTGAGAATTCATATGCACTTGTATCAGAGAGTGTTTAGTTATGTTCAACCTCAAGAGTTTTACTATCAGTAAGTGAAGAAGGGAGTCTGAAACTAATTCTTGTTCCACTTTTCATTTCACAGTTTAAACACACCCTTCTTTTTGCAGACAGCAATCCAGTGGATGTTGATCACCAAAAGGATAAACCTCTTTGCTGCAGCAACAGGTATGTACGCCTCATAGAAAGGAGGTACTTACAGCATTAACGGATGAAGAGGTGACTGAACCAGAGTATGTGGCATTCATAGAAACATTTCCTTCAGATTCTATCTGACTTAGAGCATCATTCAAAACACTTATGGACTCTAGAAAAAAGAAGGGAAAAATCATTTGAAAATAAGTAGAAATAATATACTTCAATTTGACATGCAACAAGCATGAAAGCAAATGAGCTTTAGATTGCTACTTCTCAATTCGTTTTTAAACAAAATGAATACATAACTACCAACTGAGCACAGTGCTTCATTTTATAATCATCTGCACAGCATCTAGGAGTAAAGAGTCTCTCTATCCGCTCTATTAGTTGTACAACCAGCAGTCAACTATGACATACTTAATTCAAATCTTCAAACACAGGCTACACAGTAACAGTTTAGGCAAATGGAATATATAAGCAAAAATCTGGTTTTATTCCCATAACCATGGTACTAAGAAAAGATAATGAGCATTATCATTTGTGTTCAGGTTTGGGCTCCTAAACTGCAAGAAAAACATGACACCCTGGAGCATTTTCAGAGAATGGCAACTAAGCTGCTGAAGGGGCTGGAGTACAGGCCTTATGAGGAGCAGCTGACGGTTCTGTGGTTAGTCAGGCTGGAGAAGAGGATGGTCAGGGCAGATTTTATTGCTCTCTACAACTACCTGAAAGGAGGCTGCAGTGAGGTGAGGGTTGATCTCTTCTCCCAAACAACTACAGACAGAACAAGAGGAAATGGCCTCAAGTTGTGTTAGGGGAGGTTCAGGTTAGACATTAGGAAGAATTTCAACATGGAAAGAGTGGTGAAGCACTGGATCAGGGGAGGTTCAGGTTAGACATCAGGAAGAATTTCAACATGGAAAGAGTGGTGAAGCACTGGATCAGGCTGCCAAAGTAAGTCATGGAGTCTCCATCCACAACAGTGTTCAACAGAAGTGTAGATGAGGGACTTAGGGAGATGGTTTAGCAGGCAGGTTGGTGATTAAGGTTGGACTCGATGACCTTGCAGGTCTTTTCCAAGCATAATGATTCCATGATTATTTTCCAGATATTTCATAAGTAAGCATCTGGAAATTAATATACTTTTCTTGGTCCTGAAAATTATTTGCAGTATAAGTAATTGGACATCTCTCCTGGCAGGGATCTTCCTCCTGAAGAGGATATTGTAAAGAAAAAATCCAATTAAGCTTCAAGAATGTCAAGATTACAAGAGATGAAGCATAGATGAGATAAAGAGCTCAGACACGGTAAATGCCAGCCATCAGAGATGTCTGTCTCCTTGAAACTCAATAGGTATAAAATCAATATTGAACATTTTGGTATTACAAAGGGTCAGAGAGAAAGTACTGAAAAACATGCACAGTGGAATTATCTAAAGGAGGAACGCATTATTTAACTACTTTTAACGGCTTGCTAGCAATGCATAGGTATCCATCTCAGTTTCTTAACTGAATTGTAATTTCTAAACTCAGTGCTGGGGCTCAAGCACTATCATTTTCCATAAAGCACAAAGGCTGTAACCGTAATTGATAAGAAGCCTTTAATATGAAATCAATCATGAAATGTATGACAGAAAGACAATACTGAGCTGCTGGGAGAAGAAATAGATTGCTTCTACCCTTCTTGCAAAAGTAGACCAAAGCCATTAGAAAGATATATCTTTACAATCTATGTGAAGAAAACATTTTGATTTCCAACTGATTCTGAATGTTTTCCTCTATCTCTACAATTCATTTTCCATGCAGGAAAAGAACTATGTTAATTAAACTATATTTATATTAATTTACATCAGAAACCAGTCTAAGAAGTCAGCCAGAAATTTGAAGTCAGCCAAGGTGAATACTTAAATTGTTTTTTGTACCTCTCCAGCTTCTAAGAGAAGTAAAAATGCACATGAACACAACAGCTTGACAGAGACCTGCAAGACTTACATTCACCAGGCGGCACGTTCAAAACTGAGGATAAAAACGTAGGATAAGATATTGCGCATAAGAAAGGGGGCATAGGACACTGACAGAATCCTGGCAAGGTACCAGACCTAGATTTGACTGAGAGGTAATACAAGGAGGCAACATGACAATGTGCAGTGGGTTTGATAAATAGCTACTGCTACCTATCACTCATGAAGCAAACATTCAAGAGGTCCTAAACCACATCAAATTTGGTCTTTTCCATGCATGGTCTGGTACAGGGGGTCCATGACCTCCAAGTAACTCAATATATGCAATTATGTTACCTTGACAAATTTGTCAACTGAGCTTAAGCCAGCTACAAATGAGAATCCGATGAATTGGATCATGAATCAAACGGTAAAGGCTCAGCCAAGTCACATTATCCGCAATTGCTGCTACCTAAGGGCACCCACGAAGTCCATTACAGTGGCTCAGCTGATGCACAGAAACTTGGAAAGCCACTGTAATTTCATTCTGTGTCTTAACCTTAAGGATTTGATTATGCATTGCTTATCTTCTGGGAAAATTTCTAGCTGATTCTAAAACAGTATAGAGTAAGTAAAAAATATGAATTCAGTTTAATTATTAACAAGATAATTATTAGCATCATCATCCATATCAGGCAAAAGCTACACAGAAGGCAGATTCATAGCTGCCTCAAAGGCAGTGACATTTTCACACTGGATTAAATACTCTGTTATCTTCTAATCCTAACAAAGCAAAGGAGAAGAATGCATATTACTGCAAAACTAAATCCTCAGTTTCTATGACTTTCTGAGGACTAAGTAGTCACACAGATATATTTTTTCTTAAAGTCTGTTCTCAGATTTCTCTTTTGTTCCAAGTACATAATGCAGTGAAGATACATGTAATCGTATGCCTAATTTGCCAGCTAAACAGGACTATAAATAGAAACGTGCAGAAGCAGACAGGAACTGCTAGATATTCTTCATGGACATCAAGAACTAGGCTTGTAGGTTTAGTCAAGAATTATAGAGAACATCCAAAGACACTAAGGCATTAAACCAAAGTGAAGAGGCTATATGCATAGCAACGTACTCAAATCAACTATATCAGAGAACTTGTGAGGTGGAAGCAGGGCAGAAGATCATCGTGTAATCCACAATCGCTCATTCAGAAGGATGAAGGACAACTAGGAATGCAAACTATCAGGAATGATTGCTTTACTGAGCACATCATCATGATACCCGAAAAATTTAAACAAGTTACATCAACTGCCAAATCAAGTGACAATTAGGTATTTCCTGCTACTGGAAATTGCACAAACCTTATAAAATCATTCTGTTACAGCAAGAGCAGCTTAGCTTAGATATCAAGAAAACAAGCCAAACCTAGAAATTCAGAAAGTGCTTATAAAGATTACAAAATGACAGAAAGAAGGAGAAAAAGCAATCACAGCTTCTTAATTAGACTGGTTTTAAGAATCCAGTCATCTAATTTCTTTAAAGGATCACCATTAATTAATACAGGAAGATCACACTTCCTCTCAGCCTTCAAAGATTCGGTTGTCGAATAGCTGAAAAACAAATATAAGTATGCTCCAGCTCAGACACTAACGGTTGCTAAACGGGGTTCTAAATACATTATTATTCATAAACTACATACTGAACATTTAATTCATTGTTTTTCTGAAAACGATGACAATCCCCCATGCTTCCAAAAAAGAAAATTCTACATAAAAACACTTCAAAATTAACCCAAATATTCAGCCATACATAGTTATTACAGATGTAGGAGAAATTACCTTTCATATGACAGCTCTACTTTTTGTAATCTAGGAGGAATTAAAGTCAAATGCTTTTATCAGTATGCCCGAGTTATAAATCAAGATTAGCATCTCTGATTGATTGTGGGATTTTTCTACTGAATTACAAGCAAGTGCTTTATCCAATTATATTTTTTATAATTACACATAATGGTTAGTATATAATTGCTCTTCACAGTGGCAAATTACTTAATGCTGGTAATAGATTTTAATGAAATCTGAGAGAGTTTGAACTTGCAGATATTAGGCATTGTAGCTTTTCATTTTTAATGCAAGTACTCTAATTAGTTTCCCTTCTTTAACAGTTGAATTCCTGTAGGCAATTAAGTAGAGACTCTCATAGTAGGAAATTTTTTAATGTAGTATTTAAAAATTTAAAAATTAAATTTGATCAAATAATTTCTTCAGAATTTTGTAAATTCTTCTGCTAATTCTTACACATAAGAAAATAATCATGGGGTTTTCATTCAGTCAGGCAGCACATCTCTGATGAAAAACTATTGTTTTAAGTCTCATTCCACAATTGGAGAGAAAACATTACAAGCTGACATACATTTTGGAAAGAGTAAGGATAGTAAGCCGAAGACAGGTGAGAACGCATAACTACTGCTCAATTAGCCACTTTACCAAGATTTGAGGAAAAGGACAGACAGTCTACTCTTCTGGATTTGTTTGATGCATCTAAAAATAGATATGCCTTCTGTTTCTATAAATCTTAGGGATTTCAAGACAAACTGCTTAAGTATGTACTGAGTATTTTGATAATCTAGAAATCTTTGAAATTCAACTGGCATTGAAAATGGGGAAGCTTCCTCTCCTCCTCCTTGAAACCACCTGCAAGTTAGCATCTCCTGATTTGGAAAATACTCAACCCTTTGGCTAAATAATCACACACTACCAAGCATATTAAACACCTGCACATCACACTGACATATTTTGAGGTTGACTTTTTGAGAAGTCTCAGAAAGATAGAACACAGCCTGCATGGTTTACTGAAAGAACACAGGTTAATGTTGCACATTCACAGTAGAAATAATTTAGTAGACTTTTTATTTAAAGAAATGTTTCAGTAAAAGAAAGTAATCTCTTAACCTTTGCTCGCACAAACTATCTACCTTATCAAAGCCTTTTTTACCTTGGATAGTCCTGGGTTTGCTGGCATTATCAAAGTCACAGACCTTCTCCCAATTCTCTCTCACTGCTTCAGGGGTCATTGGATGACTCTTTCCTCTGACAATAGCACCCAAGGATCGTTCCCAGCGCACTGATAAAGAGAGAAGTGGGAGACATTGACTAGAGTGTTCAAGCTAGTTATCACAATAAGAAACAAGGAAACTTTTAGTTTCTTTAGAACTCTGTTAATCGAGGCCATTTCAAACTCTGTAGAGGAAAGAAACAGCTTAAAAGTTCTCTGATATAACTCAATGGTATTACTTTTAATGAAACTAAAACGGCTCATTGCTTTCAACTAATGCTTAGATAAAAAAGTAACATTGGTTTTAAATTTCATTAGAGTCAACAACAGATGGGTTGCACTTCAGATATTTTTCATCGAGTTTTGGATTCTATCTAGGAAAAAAGTTGCAGCCAGTTTGCATTTAGAGATATTCTCTTCTGAAATGATTTTGGCTACTGCTGCTTAAGATCCTCTGAAAGTCTTTGGAGGCTGCAACAAAAATATTATAACTGCTTGTTATCAAGTATGTTTATAGAGTAGCCAGCATCTCTACATTTTTCTCACAGTCATATCTCAATGCTGACATTTTAGAGAAAGATGCTGGCAAGGTAAATATGAAGCCAATTCTGCAAGAATATTGATTTCCTGGACCAGTAGCCAACGGATACGGTCACATTGGTAAACCTGTGCTCAGTTTAACGATATCACCAGAAACCGCTACAATAATGAAAAAAGGTCCTTCTCTTCTGACCGGAGATGAAGAAGAGGTAGAGATTTTCAAATGCATGAAAATCCTATGTCTTGTGGAGCAAAAGGTTTCAGACTTCTGCTCCAGTTTTTTTAATTTATTTAATATGCTATCCACACCCACAGTGATGATCCTGAATCATCACAACATTCATAGCCAGTCAGAAATTGACAAAATTGACTGTTTTTTTCAAGTGCATGTGCATGGAGGAATATTGTTTTTGAAGAAGAGGGAATAATTTCTTGTATTTAAGGTCCTACTTTTTAAACCTTGCTGATGTTGACAGTATTCATGTAGGCCTAGAAGTCCTTTCTTTAAGAAAAAGAATACTATACTAGGTTCTATATATTTGGAAAAGAGTTTATGAGCTTTCACACACTCAACTAAATTATCCATCTGTTCAGCAGTCATTTATTTCTGTGAGTATTCTCTCCTCTCATACCTAAGCTAGTCTATGGAGTCACTCAAGGAGTACACTTAGCTGGCAGAACTATCCAGTATTCACAAGGCAAGTTGCCTCAAAATGTCAGTGCATATTGATATGATTTTTATAGGAGTGGCAAGGAGCTTAAAAAGTCTGATAACTAGTATCATGTAGTAGATAACTAGTATGATGTACTCTTTGATTACATCCATTTTCCATGGCATGAAAGGGCCATATGTATATATCAGAAGAAAAAAAGTAAATAAAAATAAGAAACAAGAACATTCCTAGCTTCAAGATATCCTTAGTACCCCAGAGAGATTTTCAATCACTGTTAACCAGTTCAAAGCATAAAACAGCACAGTGAACACAGTTTTTACAATTTCCAATTTGTAATGAAATGTATCTCTTTTACTTAATATTAGTAGCCTAAATAGGACCCTGGGGCTTCCCTGAACGAAGTGCCTTGAGTAGAGGAAACCAGAGAAATAGGCTGCATAATTTCATTGCCACATTTAATAAAAACAAACCAAAAACAAACAATCTTGCAACACCCCAAAGACTTACATTTTCCAATCCATCCAGCTCCCACCTGTCAAGAAAGAAAAATCAACAGCTTATCATGTGTATTCCTTATCATGTGTATTCCTACAGCTCAGGAACAAGCTCGATACAGAGAATTTTCTGAAATACAGCTAATTGTAATTTAGTCAAGCACTAGAAAGCTATCCATATATATATATATATTCATATATATATATATATCCATCTATAGAAAATCTCAAGAAAAAGATATTGACAGCAGATAACTATTCCCATCCATTTATAAGCTAACAAGAAAAATTAGTCTTTGCAGGGAATCAGAAAATGCAAATCCTGCATTGGTTTAGTTGCTGTTCTGTATCTTGTACTTTAAATGTTTAAAAATACTTTACCATGCAACTTCAACAATTGCCTGTTTTCCCTCACAGAGACAGAGAATTTCAAATGTGAGAAAAGAATCATAACTATATCTTTTAGAGGCTAGTAACAGCTAGTAACTTTTAATACCATCTGTTCAATATCACTTACGACTAGTACTCTGCATTCTTTGACAACTACAGCAGGAAAAACATCATAGGGCAAGCTCAGCAAACTATGCATTATTTTCTATATAATAGAAAGTTCCCAGGTAATATAGCACTTTTGTTTCCTCAGTCCCATAACATGTAGGGGAAATGCAACTTTAAAAAAGAGGGAAGGAGAAACATCTTATCAAGGACTCTCTTCTCATTTTTACCTCCTTTTCACAGGAAAAAAAATAGCAACACAGAGGTATTTGCAAAATATACTAGAGAAAGAAGAAGACCTTATACTAGAGAAAAGAGTAAAAGAAAAGCCTGTCTTAGTAAAGACAGCCTTTACTGTCTTAGTAAAATAGATCTATTTTAGGCATGACCAAAGCATTACTTAAGACGTAATTTTGGTCTATGTATATTTAAAAAGGTACAGCAAGAATTGTAATAACTGATAATATTTTGAGCACATATCAGCATTTGACAAGTTTGTTTTTGCCTGGCATACTTGTCATATGCAAAACAATAAGGTAAATATTACTCTATGCTGAGTTAGCAGTACAGAATTGACACTTTGAGATCATTATGCTGCCAGAATATCATATGGTAATTTAGCCTTAGCAAAAATTTTAAGACTGTATGGAGTAAAAGAAAATCATTAATTTCCAGCATGCAAGAAAAAAATTACCTCAAACAGGCCACCATTTTCCTGACAGCTCTCGTGACAAAGCCAGAGTACTAAGGGAGCAACATACTCTGGCTTGAAAGCATCAACCAGATCTAGAATAAATGGGGCGGGGGGGGGGGGGGGGAGGAGAGGGGCAGGGAAAAGAGTAGAGAAAAATCAAAATTATGCAATGTAAATATGATATGACTTTACCAAATTATTACTCTAATATGTTCCAATCACTGCTACAGTCAAGCAAAATTTAACCAACACAGTTTTGCAGTGAAAAAAAATGAAATGAAACATTTGAAGATCTTTTTTTATCCGAACAAGTTGTGATAGGTGTGTATTTTCCCTAAACCTGATCACTTTAGTTCTGAACCAGAAAAATGAAAGACCATCTTGATGTTTAGAACTCTGTAAGGGCAAGACAGCAAAACCAAGCAGCTGAGAAAACTCTCAGCTGAGGAAGCTCAGGCCAAAGCTTGGACACTCCTACTGACCAGCAACATGAAACAAGACAAGACAGCTACACCATAAGTCAGACACAGTTGTACACAAGTAATATTTCAATCTGATATTCAGTCATGAGTAAGAGAGAACATGAGAAGAACTGAAACTGGAGAATATTTGAGAAATAACTCATTTGGAAGTGACATACTCCACTCCCTGAAGTACTGATCAGACCTGAAAAATTTATAAATTTATTTTTCAGGTTTGAAAATATTGTTTTGGCAGCGACAGAGATACAGTTGTTCTTGGCTTAAATGTCAGTTAGTATTTTAGCATTTTTAAATATAACCTTAGACATGAACAGGTTGAAAAGTTTAGAATAACAAATATTTCTTAATAGCAGATTTGAAGCAATAGAATTTCATTTTTAGAGCTTTCATGATAGTAAAAGAAGACAGAATTTATTTATTAATTATAATAATTATTATTTATTATGGAGTTATGCTTTAAAATTTTTAAGTGCATTACAAAAGCCTAAAGCTTTCTAAAGCACTTTAATTCACGACATTGTTCTGCTTCAAAAAAAACAGCACTAAACTGTCATTAGTAATGCAATTAATTCACTGTAAAACTCATTGAGAAAGTGCTGGTAGAAGCTGAAACAAAACAAACAAAAAAGCAATAAAATAAACTCACAAACATACCACCCAGGAGATGGAGACTGCATATACACTACTAGTAAGAGCAAAAGTAAAATGGACCAGAAGTTGAAAATGCTATTTCAATGCTACAGCCTAATTGCTTGCGAACACCTAAGAATCCATAAAAGAAGGGTACTGAGTATGGTTCCAAGGACAAATTGCTAAGACCTATTAAAATATTTACTTAGTTCCAGTGCTCACATCTTTAGGAACAGTTGAAAATATTGGACAGGAGGGAATGAAAATTGTGAAGGAGGGAAGAAATAAGTGACTGGAGCAATAACAAATTATCCTCTAGGGAAACCTAAGGATTTCACTCTAAGCCATGAATGGGAAAGAAAATTATGAGGTGGTTTTATCACTGTATGTAAATATCTTCATATTGCAAATACTGAACTCCTTTTTAGACTTAAAAGACCTGCATCTACAGGCCTGAATTACGTCACACATAAAAAGTGAAACAAATCCCTAGAACGAGAGACTGGGCTTTTCCATCACTTGAAAAAGGGGGGAAAGACAGATGGAATAGGCTGATTCTAGAACACTTTTTCAGAGCAATTTCCTGCAATTGCTCTGAAAGCAGTCTTGCAGAGGCTTCTCTGAATTCTTTGCATTTCTTTTGATCATTTGCCCAAATAAGCAGTTGGTCTGCTAATCCTAAATTTACTCTTTATGCACAGTTTCATCTTTTGTCTTGCATTACATTCTTCATAGCAGCTTCTAGCAGTTCTCTGCTAAATTTTTTTCAAGTGTTTAAAGATTAGCAACTGTGTAATTCACATATATCTAATATTAGGCATCTGTGTTCATCATCATCTCCTGCTGCTCCTGAAGGCAAGAACTACATATATGAAACGTGCAATTAAGACATCTTGTCATCAGACAAAATTATAACAAATGTAGATACTCTACAAATGCATTTGATTCCATTCCTACTAAAACAAACCTTTCCATTGACTTAAGATGACTCAAAGAGACTATAGACTCAAAAGACTCAAAGAAGACTCAAGAAGACTCAAAAGAGGCTATAATTAGAAAGCACTGACATTCGGTTTTGTGAATTACAAAAATTACTTTGTATCTTGAGACAGAAAATAAGAATTTCTAATAATAAACAAAATACAGAAGTTGGGAGTCCAAAGAAAAACAGAAGTAACCTGAGAAGAGTAAATTAACAGTTTTTGAAATATAAAGTATTTGTAACTGATGCATTAACCTTAGATAATTCACCTTGTGGCATGACAGTCTGGGTCAGCCTGGATCCAGCAGTAGGTGCTATTGTGTTGCTGTGGATGTTGTATTTCCGACCTTCTATTGCAATTGTGTTTGAAAGACCCAAAAGGCCAAGTTTTGCAGCACTGTAGTTAGCCTGGCCAAAGTTTCCATATATTCCAGCAGCAGAGGAAGTCATAATTATTCTTAGAAACAGAAAAGGAAAAAAAAGTTAAATACTACATTCAAGTTTTTACTTACACAACATTATTTTCTGTCTTTAATATTGTTTAATCTCCATACTCCTGCAAATGGAAACATGTAGATAAGAATCAAAGCATTATTTTGTATTTTTGCTACTAAACAGATGACTTGCTTGGCTGATGAAAACATCAAATTCTGAACAGCAGTCACAGTAGTGGCAAAGAAGTCACTGAAGGTTTTGAGTTACAGTGCAAAAGTCCAATAGCTACTCTTTTTTTTAACTGTTTTTTTTTCCTCATTCTAGCAGTACTTCATGCGGTAATATTAAATAACAAATGCTTTCAGCAGTCAGCAGAAAAAATATTTCCATAAAAGTGGCTTTATCTTAAAACCCTCATTCTTACAAATGGAAGGCAGCTGCATTCTTATAAAATTCACAAAACTTAAATTTAAATATATTAATTTTATAAATTATAAATTTATAATATAAATATATTAAATTTAATATACATGCTAAATGCATGAGCGGAGGAGAATGTTTATAGTAGGAGTGCTGAATCTTGCCCTTTGTCCTCTAGTACTACTGCTGTTGAGCTGAGCTGCTCACAAGAAAGCTCTAGAACCAAAAACCTTTGCAGAAAGGGAAACAAATGGTCTTCCTTCCAAAGAACAAGAATCACAAGCAGAACTGGATGCACCTCCCAATGGAAAGTAGGAGGAAATCCTCTTAGACATGCAGCCACATGTATATAACACCAAAGAGTTCTAATGACTTCTAATTAAGAGAAATGATATTTCTATAACCCTATAGCTCCTGTTTGGGATATATGCACTTTCATGAAAAGGAACTTTAAAAGTTTCTGGGCATGGAGGTGGTGGTGAAAAGATAAGGTGGAACTGAAAAGATAAGATCTCACACATTTGTATTTGTTCATCCCAGGGACAGTGCAGAAAAAAAAAGACAGGAAACATTTTCACTGTCAGGGCATGCAGTCTGCCACACCTCGCTGGGTAGGACAGGGAGAAGAGAAGACACACATTTTTACCTGCCAAACTTCTGATTTTTCATATGATTCCATGCAGCTCGAGTGACCAGGAATGATCCTCTCAAATGAATTCTATGAATTATATCTAGGATCAAATTAACGGCAGTTTAATAAACCCAACAAATCATTTGTGAGCTTGAAAAAAACAATGTTTCTTCTTCATAACAAGAACTGCATTCTCTGACACTCTCGAATTGTTACTAGGAAAGGGGGTTTCCTTCTTTCTTTATAGATCACTCTGAAGTGTTTGCCTGAACATTAACGTCAACTATGCTGATAATCTCTTCCTCCTCTTACAGGATTCACAAGCATCCAAATTCTACTGCTCAAACACACTCGAGTAAGGACTGTAGTGCAGAAGCTGGACTCCTATTTGCAAAAGCCTGCCCAGTAACTGCCTCATCATCATCTCCACCTCAGTGAAGATTCCCCCTCTTCCTTGCACATCAAGTTTCTTTCTTGTTAATTTTCAGTCTTTCAAGGCTGCTTAGCATTCAGATAGAGGACAGTGGGCCATAAATGCAATCTTATCACAGGAGCTATTGTTTTTCACATGACCGATTTCTATATTCCACTCAGTACATGGGAGTGGCAGTTAGAGCCTTTCCTACACTCCAGAATTGTGTAACACTAGCATGAACTGTAGCACAGATCTGTTTTGCAATCAGATAGGCAAGTAAACACAGGTAGCTTACAAATGAGCTTTCAAGTGAAATGCATTTCTCTACATTCGGGCATAGCTAGTGTCCCCTTCTCGCCTGTGCAACTGTGAGGTATGCACCTTTCATCTTTCATAGAGTAAGTGAATCTCCAAATTCATCAACTCACCCCAATCTTCATCACTTATCCGAACAAACGAACGGTCTCTTAGAATCCTAGAAAACATGATCAGGTAAAAATCAGAAAGAAAGTTAACTATGTGTTTAAACAAATGTGACATATAATAGTTGAAAAAGTAAAAAAAAAGAAAAAAACCTACAAAACTTCAGATTTACTCACCCAGCATTGTTTACAACAATGTCTGAAAAAAAAAAAAAAACACATTACGTGAACATATTTACATCAGTAAATACAAGCTTATTATCTAAATCAAATTTTTCTCCTGCTTCTAAAACTAAACTACACGACATATATTAACACTGTACAGATATTTTCTGCTGCTATTCTAGAGCTCCTTTTCTTGGTTATGGTCATTCTATCATTAAACAATGATTTGAAAAACAAGATATTTGGAGACAGGACTCAGCCTGTCAAAAGAACAAAGACTGACAGTAAGGGCACTGAGAAGTACTGGCTACCTGGGAACACAACACCTAAAGGATGCAGCCATTCTGCTCAGTTTTACAACTTGCTTCAAGTGCCAGAGTCCTCTACACTATGCAGTTTGTGCCATCCACTTTGTTACTATTTAGGTTTACTCTGACAAAAATCACCGCTGAGGACATGCACAGCTGCATGAGAAAGTGGGATTATAACAACTCATGACAACACTTTCTTCAGTTACCATTAGCTTGGATCATGCATACTTTCAGGCACTTAAATTACAAAGTTAGATAAGCGTCATACTTAAATAGGAGAAGCATATTCAAAATAGAAGCTTTACTTGTTTAATATAATGCCTGAAGTTTTCTTAATTTGTATTTTGATTTTCACATGGCCTAAAGAGCTTCCCAAACATGGCAGACTTTTTAATTCCACTATTTATCCTAAGTTTAGACAACTAGTTACAGTACTTGGTGATCTTTGTAAGCTTTCAAGACAGAAATTATCTATCATTAAGTATCAAAACTCTGAAGAAAAAAAATAAGTCTTATTTCAAGCTTTATACTTCTGTTAAAAAACACTAAGACAAAGCAGTTGCCACTCAAACTTAAAGTGAAAGTTCTCTGCATTTGAGTTTCAGGTTTTACTAACTTAGAGATAAAGATATCAAAAACTTGTGATTTCAACTGCAGTCACACTGTATTTCACAGACTTCTGCCAACTGCACTTTTTATAAAGGATTTGGACTTGCAAACAAGTTACCAGAAAACAAGAAAAAGATAACAGTACCTATCCTCCCAAAAGCATCAAGTGCTGTCTTCACCAACTTTTCACCATCTTCCACCGAATCTATTAAAAAATAAAAAGTTTGACTATCCAAGTAGAATGAACTGTGTACATTGCACTTCTAGGATATTAATAGCTAATTCCATTGCGTTTAAAAGAACTGGAACCTATACCTATGTAATCTAAAATTTAGGCATCATTTGTATAGGGCCTAAAGCATACCCTACTGCACAATGTTTACTGTAATAGAAAAAAAAAAAAACAACAAGCAAAATATCTCAGAATAGTCCATTCCCAACTCCCATTTTGCCTCTGACTACTGCTGCTGGCACTTTTTCAGTGTCCCAATATTGACAGAAAATGTTAAAGAAAGTGATCGGAGTACTAATTAAAAAAATGTCTCCCTCCCTACTACAAAACTATATTCCACTGTGCTTATATAGTATGGATAAACTGGTTGTAGTCCTTTATTAAGTGTGTCAGCTTGTCATTTAATACAATCCATTATTCCTGTACATGAAATAATAAATTTAGTCTGGAAAAATAACATACCATAATTGGGTACAGCTTTCCCTCCTTTTGCTCTGATTTCATTAACAACTTTGTCGGCAGCTGAGGAGCTTTTGCCATATCCCTTGAAGTCACCTCCAAGATCATTCACTGTGAAAAGAATTTTTCATAATTAACATTCAATAGGTTCCATGGTCTCTCCTTATCGCATTATCACACTGAATGTCTTAAAGAATACCAACAAAACCTGCTGCCCCTGGATCCCACTGAGAATCTCTGATAATTACAGAAGAACAAATTGTCTTGTTCTTGTATTTTAAAAAAGTACAATATACTATATTGTTTTTAAAATAACTTGTGAAACAGAACAAGGCTTTATTTTCCCCCCTGCCATGCACTGAACTTCCTCAACCTGCCAAGTTTATCCCTCCGATTGTATCATTATAATTTGGAGATTAAGATCTAGCATACAACTCACAGGTCGTTCTGTTCTTTCATCAGAGCTACTGCATGAGCTGTAAATAAGATTGAGGAGACTTTGCTCATGATTTCTCTTTAACCGAGAAGCTATGATGCGAGTTGTAAGTTTTGATGCAGAACAAATCAGGAATCGTGAACAACGATGGAAGAGCCTTCCCTGGAACTTCAGATCCTGTTGCAGCAGGGGCAGGAGCACCGGCTGACACAGGCAGCTCTGCTGTATCCAGTTTGCTGAGCACAGCAAACAAGTGCCACTACCTATGGGACCTGCACTGTACCACTGCAATGGTTTACTGCATTGGCACATCGCAAATTTTCACAGAATTCAGCAGAGGAAACTCAGATTCACAGATTTAAAAAGAACAAGTTAATAAGAAAAAAGTAGGAAGACTGTTTCTTCAATAATGAAACTTCAGTTTTGTGCCTTCTGTATAGACTTAAGACTTAAAGTACTCAGTTGTAGCAAAGTTGTAGCGAACAACAGTACCTGGTCTTGATGCTAAGCAGCAACTGTAAATTCTTAAATCTGTTATATCTTACAAAGTGAAATAATTGATTTTTTAAAAATAAATCAATAAATAAGAAACTCTACATCTGAAGAGGAACGTCGCTTGCAGTATATGTGATAACAGCCCTCTATTCTACTGAAAAGTAAAAAGGCCTCATCTGGAATTCTGCACTCAGTTTTATGCTCAGTGTTTCAAGAGAAATGTGGAACAGTGGAAAAAATCCATCCAAGTAAATATGAATCTCAAAGTGAACATACCATGGAGTTTTAACACACACACACACACACACACACACACACACACACACACACACACACACAGAGATGTGCATACCCACGGACAATGCAGGCACACGGATAATCTCGAAGATTTGCACAGCCAAAAGTAAAAAGAGAATTAAGAAAGAACACAACAATACACTCAAGTACCTTAGAAAAAGATGCAAAATAAGAAGGAAATAAACTGCTTTCCAGGTTCGAACTAAATAGATCAAGAACTAATAGTTTGAACATGCACTGTAGGGGATAGCAACACCAATAAATATCTTCATATTCATCACTGTTATTTTCTTATCACATTAACCACAGAATCACAGAATGGCTGAGTTGGAAAAGACCTTTGGAGACAGATCATCTAGTCCAAAACCCCTGCTCTAGCAGGGACACCTAGAACACATGGCACAGGGTGGCATCTAGGCCGGTTTGGAGGATCTCCAGAGGAGACTCCATAGCCTCTCTGGGAAGCCTGTTCCAGAGCTCTGTCACTCTCACAGTGAAGAAGTTCTTCCTCAAAATCAAGTGGAACTTCCTGCACTTCAGGCTGTATCTATTGTCTCTTGTCCTGCTTCTGTGCACGACAAAAAAGAGTATGGCCCCATCCTCTTGAAATCCTCTAAAGGTATTTACATCCACTCCTAAGATATCCTCTTGGTCTTATTTCTAGAGATTAAAAATAAATAAATAAAAATAAAAAGATCAAGTGCAAGTGAGGTCAGACGGTCAGTTCTGAAATTACTGATTTAGATACTGAATAATAAGTCCAAGACTTAAAGGAGAAATAGCAACAGTCAGGCACTATAATAGATTCTCTTTCAGATGACTCTAATATGTCAGAAAATTACCAACTACATTAGATTTGGGCAATTTAATAACCTATTTCTTGTTAAATAAGAACCTGAGATAAAATATTCATTAACCCAGCAGGTACGTAAGTAGCAAAGACAGCAACTACCAAAAACAAACGCTCTAGACTCTTTTAAAGTTTTTTTTAAATTACCTACAGATAGACATTTTGTATTTAATCAGCAAAGTAAAACAAATGCCTTATGAAATTTTATGAACTGAGACTGGAATTTTTATTTGAAGTTACTAGAATCAGTGGGCAACTTCTTTCAAGTTTAATTACATACTCAGTAAAGTCTATTCGACCTTATACCTAAACAAATTCACTCAGAAACAGTAAAACTGCAAGTGGCAACTGCTGAACAGTGTACAAGAGTATGATTTAAATATCTGAATTAGCTTGTGATTACGGCAGTTTATATGACTAAATAATCTTTGAAAAGAGTTCCATCAAGTTACTATGAAACTCAAAGAAGTCCTTTGCTAATAAGTAAATTTGGGACCATCTTTGGAACCATACAACTCTTACAAGTGACAGCTTTGCACAGGGAAACAGTACAGTGAGCTTTCAGCACATTTTGTGTTTTCTAATACTCTCTAGACTAATACTGCTTTACACTCTCATAATTATAGAAGGTAAGTTCACATTTTCAAATGGCCATAACATAAGTTTCTGAGTACTGCTCATCTGAAATAATACGTTCCCTGATCACAACTTAAAGATTGGTGCATATGGACGAAAGTCAGGCCATGATGATGATAACAACTCAAATCAACTTTCCAGCACAGATAAGTAAGTCGTTGTCAAGCTTTGGCTACTTTTTTCATAAAAGAAACATAGCTTAGAAATGAAAATAAATCTCAGGAGATAAGACAAAAAAAAAATAAATAGCAAAGGTTACTGTCAGAAAGGGCACGGACTGCTGAACGTCAGCTACTGAACAAGGCAAAGGTTCTTGTCTAAGTTAGTTAACATAAAACTTACCAACTACAGAAGCACCTTAGTTAGCATAAAACTTACCAACTACAGAAGCACCTCTTTCAGCAAAAGCCAGAGCATATGCTTTGCCCAATCCTAATTTAAAAAAAAAAAAAAGTTAGTCTTCTGCATTCCAGTTCATAAAGAAAGCTATACAGAAATGAATTGCATTAAAAAAGATCTACCAAATTAGCATAAACACTTTGATCTAAAGCTCTATTTCAGGTAGAAGTTAAAGTTCTGCATAAATTCAAAACATGAAATTAAACAATCTGAAAAATTCAAGATGTAGCATCTATTCAAAGGAAAAAAAAAGTTTGCCCATGCTCACTCCTTGTTAACACAGCCAGAGGAATCATCGTGGAAAGCTGCCTGCATTAAATTTGTGTTAGAAAAGACACTTGTTACACAGAAAGCTGCTAGTTTTTTTTATCCTAGCAGAAGGAGATGTTTCAAGTTAATTAATTACTGTCTAGGCTAGTAAGATACTTTCATAGTTCAAGTAGCCTTGCAGATTTGAAAAAGGAACATATGTGCTGAAAAAAACTGTGACTAAAAAAGCATTTAAAAAATACTTCAATTATTTGAATAAAAACAAATCACTTAATTGTGACAGATGTGACAGATCCACCCACAGGTTTACCTAGTGTTAACAGCAGAAAGTCACTTTAGCCCACATATACAAAATGTGAAGAAATCTTGCACCTTTACTCTGACTTGGACTCGAGGGGCATTAAACATTTGTTATTTGTTATGATTAATGATTTACTTCAGAGATATTATTTATCATATCAGAAGTTAGTGAAATTAATGACAAGGGTTCTTTTTCTTCACACATTGATATTTAATGATCAAAGGATAATTATATATCTCTTTGTGCCTCAAAAACAAAATTAGCTCTTAAAAGCAAAAAATCAAAATCCACAAGTGCTTAAACTGTTTTGAAATACACTGACCTCTCTATGTAAATATACGAACAGTTTGAAATTTTCTTCACAACCCATATGGGCTTCCATAACACACGAGGGATACATACATACATCTATTGCCTGATGTAACTGAAGTCCCAGCAGAAGAATAATTTTTTGAGAAATCACTAACTGAGCAGAGTACAAAATCCAGATCATATCATAGGTGCCAATGTTTTCAATCAAGGGTAGAGAGCTTAAGCATTAGAACTAATCTTAAAGTAATAAAACTCAGACCTCTGAAAGCAGATGAATAATAACACATCTGCACAACAGACAAGAAAAATATTCCAAGCTAGATTTGTCTAGAAACTTTTTAGATGCTAGTGTGTATTTGTGAAAATAGATCTCATTTTAAACATGAGCAAGTTGATCTTTCACATGTTTTGAATAATCCTCCAGATCTTATCTGCATGATAAAATAAGCTATAAAAAAATGATAAAAGGAGAAAAAGCCAGATAAGAACTAAGACGAAGCTAAGAGCACTTGCCTTCGTCCTGGTTGAAGTTCAGTTAACCACTTTTCACAAAGCTGTTGCTAATAAGACATCCAAGGACAGCCTTCTCTGTTAACAAACGTCTTAAAGGAACCTAGAAGTACAATTGCCTCTGTACCTATACAGTTTTGTTTTGTCCAGTACTTTCTTGGACATTTGTTATTGACAACATTTCTGTGTTTTGCTATTATCTAGGATCTTAATTTTACTTCAGTGGGATCCATTATGCAGACAGAAACACACCAGTAAGAGAACTGGAAAAAAAAGACATTGTACAAAGATCTGGCCCCAAATCTTCTCACATTTGCAATATTCAAGTGACCTGAGACAAACGTACATGGTTTTCCATAAAATTACACAGACTTGGTCCTCCCCTGCAAGAAATAATGTAATCTGGGCCATCAAAACATCCCTTCCTGCTACAGGCAGCTCTGCAAGATACCCTGGAGGAAGAAAAGACCTTCTTAGAGAGTATGGAGCAAACTTCTTTGGTTGTTAAGAGCAACTGCAACCTCTTGCCACGTTTTACTCCAAACTCATAGTTCGTGCCTCCACACTGAAAGTACTCAAGAAGGCAAAAGCCAAAGCATGCATTCAAGGGAAGAAAGGAAAAAATTTTTTTTTAAAGGACAACAAGAAAACAGGTTCCTGGCAAAACCACACACTCCAGTGCATAACCACGTTTCTGGGAGAGGTTGGCCCAGCATCCTCCACCAGACAGCACAGGCTGGCCCTGCTGTAAACAGAAGAAAGCATCTCCCTGCCTCCTACACTGCACTGCCCTCTCCCTGGGCTGCCACACCTCTCCATACCGCCTCAGCAACCAGGTCAGGGGCAGCAGGATGGACTGGCACCCATGGACCACAAGACAACAGGACAATAGTGTGTGAGTGCAGGAGCATTAGAGGTGTTAACTCATGTGTCCACGGCAAAACTGGAAGGAATTGGGATGCTAAGCACAGGTGGGTGCCCAGGGCCGCTAAGTGCCAAGTGCTGCGCTATCTCTTGCAGGTAAGCAAGGCATAGATGGCACATCTGCGGGAAAGGCACTGTCTCCGAGCGGCTCAGGGACACATCATGAAGGTCACCATTCTGAGTGGCACAGGGACACATTCATGTAAAGGGCACCAATTTTGAGTATTACAGAGGCACAACCACGCAGAGATCGCCCTTTCCAGAGGCGCAGGGCACGTCTGCACGAAGGTCACAATTTTGAGTGGCACAGAGGCATAACTGTGCAAACGGCTCCGATTTTCAGTGTTACAGAGACATAACTTTGTGGAGGACACGATTTCGAAAGGCACATGCGCGCGGAGGGCCCCGACGTGGGGCAGGACACGGAGACCGACTCCCTCCGAGGCGTCGTCGCAGGCCTCGGTGCGGTGGAAGGTCGCGAACGCTCGCGGCCGCCAGCGGCGCCGCGGAAGGGCGACGGGCACAGCGGCGGGGTGAGAACCACCTCCGCCGCCCGCGCCGCCTCCACCGCTCACCTCCTCCGGCGCCGGTCACAAGCACGACCCGCCCGTCGAAGCGCAGCCCCGGCCCCGCCGCCGCCGCCATGGTGCTGCCTGCGCCGGCGCCGCGCACGGGAGGCGGTGCGGAGGGTGGTGCGCCCGCGCCGCCCGCTGGGAACTGCAGTCAACGGCCGCGCCGCCCAACGGCCGCGCCCCCTCCAACGGCCGCGCTCCCTCCAACGGCCGCGCCCCCTCCAACGGCCGCGCTCCCTCCAACGGCCGCGCCCCCTCCAACGGCCGCGCCCCCTCCAACGGCCGCGCCCCCTCCAACGGCCGCCCCCCCTCCAACGGCCGCGCCCCCTCCAACGGCCGCCCCCCCTCCAACGGTCGCACCGCTCAACGGCCGCACCGCCCAAGGGCCGCACCGCTCAACGGCCGCGCCCCCTCCAACGGCCGCGCCCCCTCCAATGGCCGCGCCGCCCAACGGCCGCGCCCCCTCCAACGGCCGCGGCCCCTCCAGCGGCAGCCGGAGACAGGGAAATAGAGGGATAGCGATAGATGGAGGGCTCCGGCTCCGGCTCCGGCCCCGCCTTCCAGTTGCGTTCTTTTCGTGCCTTTTAAGGCTGAGGAAAGGGCAGAGTTCTTCCCACCCTGTCGGGCCCGGGGTGGTCGGGATCACTTTGCGCAGACACCTCGGCTGTGGCGCAAACTGATCCGAAACGGTCTTAGCTCCGTCTCGATCCAAATCGCTGCTCTCCGACCTCGCTTCCGTGGTGGCAGGAGTGCTTCTCGTCAAACAATTGCTGTGAAACATACCAACTTTCCAGTCTTGAGTGAGAGACTTCACTGAAGAATTGACATTAAGGAGATAGAAGTGTTAAATATCTGAAACTCAAGATTCACTGCCCCCTCCCCCCCAAAAAAGAACCTTTTTTTTTTTTTCTCAAGAAACTCGGTGATTATAATGTAAACACATATATGCATGAGTGTATATGCAGAAAGCATGGTCCCATGTGGCCCCATATGGTCTCAGTTTCCAGTCTTTTGCAGAGTACGCCACATTGTCATTGGCTTGATGAAGCATTACTTATTCCAGGTCCAAAAATGGCAAGTTAAAAATGCACAAAAATATAAGTCTTAGTTTTGTTTCCTCTGCTCTTTTCTGTGCTTGACTGTCTGCCATGCTCTTTGGCATTCACAGAGTAAACGCCCTTGGATTCAATTTCTCATTTCCAGACAATGAATTCATTCATTTTAAAGAGTTTTTTCTAATCCTTATCATCTCAAGGGTGCGCTTTATCACTCTGTAAAGTCAGTGCAAAGAAATCCATTGACTTTGCTGAGCTTTGGCTCAGATTGTAGATGAGTTTCTCAAAAACATCCATTTGCTTCGACGTAGGCCTGCAAAACAAATAAATGCTTTCCTTTCTACAGAGTGGAAAGCAAGGAATGGCCGTGTAATATATGACATTGTGCAGCAGGGATACCTGGATGGAAATTCCCTGCCCCCTGAGCCCTTAGCCCTTTATGATACTAAGTATACATAGTTCTTTGTAGTTCACTTCTAGCAGCTGGCAGTACAATTCCTAAAGTCTATTGGACTGACCTATAGTTTAAGTAGTGAGCACATCTATTCTTAATACCGTTGCAGAATCACTGTGTTTTGCAGAATCAACTGCACTGAAGCATCACAAGTGCTGTGGAGCTCAGTAGATTTAATCAAGACTTTGCAACGTTACCTACCCAACTCAGTGCTCATGAACTTTATCTGAATTACAGACAGGGAACTTCTTGGAGTTCTTCATCTCTGGCTAGCTCTCCAAGGTGATTGAGAGCTGTTAAATTTAGTAGGTTCTCAAGGAATCACGGATAGTATTAAGAGTCCCCAGAGTCCAGAGCAGCTGGACTCTGCTCTTCCACTTACATGCTTCCTCTGCACAGCCGAATTTTTCTTCATGCATCTTTCTTGTATAGTTGGTCTAGTTTGAATTATTTCCACAGCTAGTATGGAAAAAAAAAAAAAGTATTTGCTGCAAATTGTCTCCTTAACTATTACTGATTTATTATCTACACTACAAAGAGCTGAGAGCTCTTTGGAGAGCAAAGTATGGGAAGTTAAGATATGAGATCTTAAGTAGTCTGCACAAAGCGCCCCTTTAGAAATAGGAGATACAAGAGAGGTATTACCTCTCTTAGTTTAGTTTACTTAAAATAAACTGAATGTTATACTTGCAATTTATAGTATGGGCACTAGGGGAAGTATTATGCTATACTAAAACTTAATAAATCTGTATTTTCAACAGATACCACACCTCCAGTAATTAAATTCTTTTACCAAAAACAAACAAACAAACAAACAATGAAAGTCTTATGCAAAGATGAAATCAAAGGGACATTGCTTTTAATACTGAGTAGCTTTACTAAACCAATAGATTTACTTATATGGTGGCTTTCTTCTGAACATTTAAATGCACTCATAGGGAGAAAGAAAAAATGGTTCCTGAAGCAGGTTAGGAAAAAGAAACTGGTCAAATAGTCCACTAAAAGTTATGAGTTTAAGTATGGGAAATACTACTGAAAGCATGCAGAAAGAACCCACCGCACCATATGCGCATAATTACAGGCCTGGATAACCAGACTAACATACCTTCATGACAAATTACAATATTTATAAGATAGCATGTTTCATTTTAATACAACTCAGGACCAAATTTTGCCACAATGAAAAGACTAGTGCAATTAGCTTTAGATTACTCATAGAACCTCCTCGGCTCAGATTTGTCTGCACAGTTGATAATACAAAGAAGCTGTTTCCTGTCTGAGGAAGACAGAGGGCTAAATCAGTTTGTAATTCTTTTCCTTAGAGATTAACAGATTGGGTTCTTAATCTTATGTGTGCTTTGGTTCTGCCTCATCCACAATGCTTAATATTCTCATTATTACCCTACAGTGGCAGACCACATTCCCACTTGGTAGAAGTGAGGGAAGTCTCCAGGAGAAGGGTGCACCCTCCTGCAGAAGCAGTCTAGCTGGACATGCTGCCCTACCCAGCAGGAAAAGCATGACAAACACCTTATCTTTAAAGGTACACAAAGATACATTTACAGTGATGCAATAATGTGCTATCTGTTGGACATTGCACACCTACTTTTTTTTTTCTAGGTGTTCTGAGGTTTTGTTTCTGTAATGTCTAGTGATTTAAGGATGTAATTTGTTAGGAGGATGCATGCAAACTAATGACATGAACATGAAGCTTCGTCAACTCTGCACATGTTTCTGGAAACATCTAGTTTACATTGGAAATAGTCAGGCACTTAAGAACTAATCTAAGTCATCTTTACACCATCATCTTTACACCATCATCAATTTGCATAATCACTCGAATATGTGAAGCAACACAGTTTTTTGTTCATAGCCATAGACTGACGGTTCTGAGCTCCTGTAGCTCAGAAGAGTTCCTGCTCTTGAACATGCAATTTCAGTTCTGTCCTTAGGGTCCTAATACTTTCTGTGCCTGTCAGTTTAGATCTTGGTCTATTCAAGGAAAAGCTTCTAATTTTAATTTGTCTTGAAGCCAGTTGTTTAATTTGTCTTGAAGCCACTCTTGAAAACAACAAATGCCTAGCTGCCTTTTTTTTTTTTTTTTTTCCCCTGTAAAACAAGACAGAAAATCCACTGAGGTTAATTTTTTAGGACTTCTTGTTCAACTGGAATTTTTCCTTGTAAAAAGATACAAACAACCACTCAAAACCCAAAGGAATTTGAAGGGTTCTCCTAAACGTTAGAAGTAATTTGTTTTAAACCTGTAGAGGTATCCAAAAATAATTGCATCAATCTGAAACATGGCATGATCAGAAAATACCACCACTGAAAAGGTGTTATTAGATGGAAACTTGCGTATAGTAGATGCTGAGCCAGGAATAACAGCAAGTTTAAAATGACTTTTAAATAAATGAATCGCAATAGGAGATCAATAGCAGGATTTCCAGAGTCAAACTGGTTGAAATTGGTAATAAGTGAGTCCAAAAAGACCAAATCTACTTTATTTTATCTCTTAGCAAACAGTGTTGACCAGCATGTCTTTCTCATCACCTCTTTTGCTAAATTAGCAGCTTTTTAGACCAGTAGAAAATGCAGACATCTTTCGCCCCTGCACCCACTATTACTTTATAACCCCAAGTAGAATTTTATTTCTTTAGTTATGCTTCAATGCCGAGAGCAAGTTCTTTTTTAAAAAGAGCTTTCATATTGTGCAACAACATAACCTTGCAGTTTATTCTAAAATAACTTCTTCAATAGACTTTTTTACTTTCACTGCTTTTTTTCTTTTTTTTTTTTTTTGTTTGTTTTTAAGCTAGAGTTGAATATATTGTAGATATTGTGCTACTGTAATACTGTTTCAATCCCATCCAAAATATCAACGGTCTACAGCTGTGTGACTACCTTTAAAAGAATATGTAGGGCGAATTAATTGAATTACTTGCTTTTACTCAGTGCATATTTTTTAATAGTTCTAAAAGATATGTTTGGGTTATAAGGATCATTTTCAAAATTTAATTTGCTTTCTAAGTGGCTGTGATCATGGAGGTTTGCACAGGCCTGTTCACTGGGATCAAATTCTCCACAAATGAGACAGAAGGAGGAAACCAGATGCTTCTTTCCATGTCCTGCATCTAGAAATTGAAACCAGTCTGCATATGTTAATAATTGCGGCACCCTCCTATTGAACTGTACAAAAGCACAGCCTACACCACATGGTACCTCTCCACACATGACGTCAGCTGTGGTGTTTTGTAAATCCCTGGAGGTTTTTAATTTAGCATCTTTTGCTGTGAATAAGCAGGCCTCACTCAGCTCACTCTTTCCCACCATTTCCTCTCTTTTCTGCGGCCATCTACTGGCTGCCAAGGCAGAGGTTGATAAAATGACAATGCACTTAATATGCACTATACAATGAAAAAACTTTATTTCATGCAAACAATTTGTATGGCCCACTTCACCGTACCGGTGCACCCTCAGTAAAGGTGATCAAAGAAAACTATTTTTTTAGACTACGTATACAATTTTATGGGACATAATCCCCTCTTGGAGCTAATATCTAGTGAC